TTTCGAAAGTCATACGGCCGCCGCAGTGCAGACACACAGCGCCAAGTGACAACGACCTCAACTAAATTTGGTAATATTCACCCTTAATCGCGTCACGACCCTCTTCGCTTACGGTTCGCTATTGGATTCACTATAACTAGCGTTCTTCTTTTCAAGGTGCGGTTTTGCCGTCATAGGTAGCTGGCTGACCACCATCTTGTCCATTGTAGACCAAAAAGTTTCTACCGCTGGCACATTGAAAAACTGATTGAAGTATTAAAGAAGCGTGGCAATCTGGTGGGTACTTCAACCACTGGTGGGTCTTATTTACCATTTTGATGTGAATGCAGATTTGCGCGTAGGAGCTCGTGGGAGCACGCCTCTTTTGCCACGCCCTCCTATGGCTCAGCCTTGGGAAAAATTTGTCCCTGAAGGAGTTTTTTTTATCGAAGCTTTGACTTTGAAATCACATCAAATACTATTGCACCTTTAAACTTTCATATTATGCGTTGATGGACAGTGAACTAGAAGTTTGGAAGGGGAACTCGGATTTCAAAGGGATAGAGGATGGGTAAAAACCAAAAAGTTTATGTGTACAGTAAAATTTTGATACAGTTCAAGTCCCAAGATCTAGAATCTTCAGCCTAATAATGCAAAACCCAAACTGTTTGCTAGTCGCCGAGGTGTATGCCACATTGTAAAATTACAGGCTCTATACAAGTGGGGTGGGCACGCCCAGCTTCCCACGCATGTCAAGTGATTGCCACCCCCCCCCCCCAAATTGGCTACACTCCCCCTGGCTGACGAATTCTCCGATTCTCGTGGCAGTATAGTAGCGGGCAGCAGCCCCAGTGACATACATTTCTGTTCAAAAATGCAGCGTGCCCACCCTACTTGTATGGCATCAAATTTTATATAGATTGGCCCTTATTAAACACTTCGGTAATCCATTTCAGTCATTGAAATTATACAGCTGACTTCCAATTCCTGGTATGTTACGAATGTTCCAAATGCGCAGTGATGGGAATTCCAAGGTGGCACCCACTATTGAGTGCCACAAACCCACGCGGCAGATCGAGCGGCACCTGCCGGTAGGCGCCATTATCGACAATGGTTGATCAAAAATAATCAATGCAGCAATGTCGCCGTTCGCGGCGATTGATCACTTATTGCGTATGCCTCAAATTCGACCTCAGTGATCCAAAATAACTGCAGAACATGCCGTCAAGTAGAGAAACGAGATGTGAGGCGACGTCAGCAATAGTATCGAGGCGGAAAACCCCTGCTTAAAAAAATTGCCACAGCTTAGCGATTAGCAGCAAGGTCCTATAATGACGCCACCTATTGGACAATCGAATATGTAGCGCAAGGCTCAGAAGGAGTGGTGACTAGCAATTACCACCGGATGCATCATTGCTTGATTTCTTCAAATTGAATGGAGTTTAGATTGACCTGGTATTTTTTCACATTTAAAGGTGTGGCTGCAGCCAGCGCGGACGGGTCAGTAATGTGTTCCCCCTGTTGCGGCTGCGTTCTGACCGCGCGCGAACGGTGTGAGAGCCCACCAATGAATGTAGAAGAGAAACATAAAGCTTAGAAGGACAGATAAAGCTTTTCGGCACAGCCTGTGATGAAGTTTGAAGTAACAATAGTAACTCAGAGGCAGAATACACACTTGGAAAAACGACAGTATTTCCGTTGTGACCCAAACATGTCCAAATCATGTTGAAGAAAAAACTCGGAATCAAAAAAAAAATACCTGAACTCACATAAATGTTTTCTCCTAGCTGAATCTGATAGAGAAGAAATGTAATTAGGCTATCGGCAGTTAAATTCCCTACAAAATATGTTATCGTAACATTACTTCGATGAGCTGCAATAGAATCTTTTGTAGTGAATAGCTCACCTGTCATTACCAAATGGCCACCGTAACAGAGCACAGCAATCAGAACCCCGTTTTGGTTGAAGTCATTGTTCCATGTGTATCCCATGTAAGCAATCGATCTGAACTAATATTAGTAGTAGGAGAGCGTAGAAATTGCTCACCCCAGCTACAACGAAATGGTTTTCACGAATTCTACAGAATCTCACTCCACAGAAGAACCATCCATTCTACAGCTAGACTACATACACATAACAACAAGCTCACAAGTATTTCAAGCCCTTAACAGGCGGAACTTGGCAATAACAAAGTAGGCCATGTAGCAGGGTCAAGCCAACCGTTCCGTGCGGTACAACGTCCAACGCGGGGGGGGGGGTCCGTATTTCTGAGATATGCGTCAATTAGTGAAAGAATGGGATTTATGAATGAGAACAGTTTAAGTTGTTGGCTGAGCCTTGATTTGTGATTTTGAGCTGCGAAACATAGTTCCGAAAATTTCTGTCGTTTCACATTCGATAATAATACCCTCCTCCCCCCTCCCGCTGCGACGGCAATTTTTGGGGAAAATTTGCGCGGAGTCTGGGCTGTCGTCGACTGTCTCAGAGATTCAAACTAGTCATAAATCGCTCGTCCGGTGATGACGATGGCAGGCGATGAGTGGTGGGTGGTGTCGTGAAGGGTACCCTGAGGGGGGGAATCAATAGTCGACCGGGGGCTACATAGACAAGGGAGGTGGCGGTTTCCCGTCCACAATCACTCGAACACTCTGTCCACCGATGACGGCCTCACCCTCCCGCGGCTCATTTTAGAGAAATCATTTAAGGAGATTGCTTGATGCAGAGACTGAAGAGAAGAAATTCATCTGCAGCAACGGACCCAAACACAGCCGAGAAAAAACTGAGACGCCGTGCATCTTTCGCGTGGTGATATCGCCCCCAAATGCGGCTTATTTCAGGAGATTAGTCTAGACGGGCCATACTGCGAAAAAAGATCGTAAACGCACCTGGAATTTCTCCTCCTGCCTACCCTCTTCTGATAGCCGACTCTGTTTAAGTAAAAACGAAGGTGTTGTGCACTGATTCTATGATGCCTTTGTCACAACGACCCCCTTATTTTGCCGGTAGCAACTTTTCAAATCATCTCCTAGGAAGCGACTCTCATCGTACCTCTCACCCTATCACGCATCGCTCTCAATCCATTCTCCTCTCTCTCTCTCTCTCTCGTGCTAAACGCCCGAAGTCTGATGGCGAGAGGGCGGCCGTGCGCTGGTGTAAGCCGCGGCGGTATGCCCCTGCTAGACTCTGAGACATCATTTCTGTCGTGGCAAGAAGAGCATCGTCTCGACCCTCATGGCCTCCATTACTGTCGTGGAATCGTCTTTTTTCAAGAAACAGTTGTGTCGTGATTGTTCGACTCTCGCCATAAAGCACGAAACAAGTCGCTAGTGACTCGTAGTGTGAAGAATCATGGCTATACAAGGATCTTTGGTTACATATTTGGTGGTGGAAACGAAAGCAAAACCTTCAGAAAACCTGCGTGCCGGTCTTTTCTTTCAATCTGCTAATTTTAGGCCCTCGACGGAAGAAAATTAACTCTTTCCATCGCGATAATCAAACATTGAGTGGCTCAACTCTGTGGTGCGCGCATAGAACAATGTCAAAGGCACAACACGTATAGTGCGTTTCAAGAATGACAACTGTGCAGCCTTAAGCTTTTATTCGACAGCCACCAAAACGTCGCGTCGTGAAACATCCCGAACGCAGTTTCCTCTTCAAAATTGCTTTGCTGAAGCTTCAATTTATTCATTTACCGAACATCGATACAGTCATCGTCCTCGGTATTGCTAGTGTATTTATGACTGGCGAGGCTTACTTACAGAGAATAATGCGGGAAGTCGTTGTAACTTCTGGCAATAGTGATTTCGCGCAACCAGCACAAATTTCCCACGTGACTCGTCTTCTCATTATTATAATCACTCACTTTTTTCCTGTTTACATTTAGAGTCGTATCCAAGCTGTCTTCGAACGAATCCGCTTCGTAATTTTCGCAAGCAAACGACCTGAAATGCGATGAATACGACGACCAATGGATCACAATGCTTTTTGAGAAATTAGCTAAAGGCAGGTCTTGCAATTTGTTAGTGCCGCTGAATGTGAAAGGAGGGGCTTTTTCGAAGAAACCAAGAAAAGCGGTGTAACACAAAAAAGCAGTACCCTCTTTTTGCCTACCAGATTTCATGACTGATTAGTACAACTACGTTTGGTTCCGAGCACAAGAACCCCTACCTTCGGTCTTATTGTTAGAATGCGCCTTTAACTCCACCCCCTAGCATCTGCGTCTTCGGGTCTTGAATGATATGGAGCGGTATAAGGGATTTTTGATATTAGCACTGCATAGTTGGTGCTGAGTTCAGCATTGCCATCAACACCCACTAATCACGTTTACTTTGAGACAAACATTACGGCCGCACCCTTCAAAACTGCGGAACCTGCACTTTTCGGGCCAGTCTATGCCGATCACGAGGTGTTCTCCACTCAGCGAACCGTAGAGTGTACCTCGATGACCTCCGAACGAATTTATTTTGAATTCATGCATAGAATCATACCTAACAGTCCTCATTGTAGCTAGCACTTCCTCAGCTTTGCTGTTCGCTGCCGCAATAGTTGTTTGAGTTTGTTCGGATAGCCGCTGTAATGAGGAATACACCATATCGTCACACTAATTTACTAACTACTAAGCTGTATGTTCTCCTTGAATCCTTTTCGCCCAGTAGTGTTGGCCATTACAACTATTGCCCCACTGAAGAGGTTGATGAAAATGTGCGGAAAAGTTATCGTGCTCAGTTTGAAGCAACAACTTCGAATTAGGTGCCGAAGAATTTATTTTGTGGGCGGGATAAAGTAGCCCACGATGCGCCATTTCGCGGCCCGAAATGGTGTGCATCACCGACGCTGGGGCTTTACAAAGTGGATTTCTGGCGATTAATGCTGACTTATGGACGAGACACCTCGCGCACATCCCAGACCTGGATTACGACGTAGCGGCTAATTCAAAATGCGCGGGCTACAACAGCCATACAGGGCTTTCATAATTATAAGCTCGCCCTAAAATTTTGCGTTTAGTGTAAGCAGTTACCTAGGAGTTTTTCTAACATTATCAACAAATTCCTTAGCACGAAAGCCCCGTATCCTAAAGTATTTGATTCTGAGACCAGTTGTTTCGCACGCACCTATGCCCTGCGCCTCATGATGACCAAACGTAACCAGCAGAACTGCGCAATGCGACCCCTCTCCCCTACCAGAACACAAATGCGACCTTCGAATTGTTCAAACGGACGGTTGACCCTGCTTGGAACTTCACCGCCTCGCTGACAATGGCTCGACTTCTTTTCGCCCCTACCCGAACTTTATTCTTTGACATAGGAGTGTTTAATTGTGAGCGAATCTAGATTCAACAGAAGGCACTGTATGGCACTGCCCTCAAAATTCTTCTTGAATTGTTGGTAGTAAATGCACGTGAGTTCCCAAAGGTAGAACATCTGAAAACTTGGTAGCACTTCAAACATCCTTGAAATGAGCGAGAAGTTTTCCTGTAGGTTCCGCAACCACTCTTGTACCGAACCCAGCACGTCGAAATGCCTAAACCTTCCACCTTCTCCAAAAGACCACCACGAAACAATCCGAAGTCTGAAAATTTGCTAGTGACAGGTATCCACATCCGCAACCACCTTCTGTGGACCCTCCGAAGAAATTGTTCATTTTTCAGGGTGAGCTTATAATTACGAAAATTTCA